AAAAAAAAAAAAAAAAAATCAGTTGTAGCCGGGCACAGTGGCTCACATTTGTAATCCCAGCACTTTGGGAGGCGGAGGTGAGAGGATTGCCTGAGCCCAGAAGTTTGGGACCAGCCTGGGCAACTTGGTGAGATCTCATCTCTACGAATAAAAAAATTAGCCGGGCGTGGTGGCACGAGCCTGTAGTCCAGCTACTCAGAAGGCTTAGGCAGAAGGATTGTCTGAGCCCAGCAGGTCGAGGCTGTGGTGGCCATGAGTGTGCCACTGCATTCCAGCCTGGGCGACAGAGTGAGACTCCAACTAGAAAAAACAAACAAAAAAAACCAATTGTATCTGGTGGCCATGAAAATGCTTTGGATGGTTGCATAAGGTACTACATACCACTGAGTTGCACAAATCAAAATGGTTAATTTTATGTTAGTGAATTTTTTTTTTTGAGTCAAGGGTCCTACTCTGTCATCCAGGCAGGAGTGTAGTGGCATACTCATGGCTACCCCAGCATTGACCTGCTGGGCTTCAGTGATCTTTCCGCCTCAGTCTTCCAAGTAACCGGAACTACAGGTGTGTGCTATCACGCCTGGCTAATTTTTTGATTTATTGTGGAGATGAGGTCTCACCAAGTTGCCCGGACTGGTCTTGAATCTGCGGGCTCAGGCAATCCACTCACCTCAGCCTCACAAAGTGCTGGGATTATAGGCTGAGCCACCGAGCCCAGCTTGTTACTGAATTTTTTAGCAAGAAAAGAAAAACAATCAATTGAATCAACATTACATCAAAGCATTTTATGAACTTATGTGTACCTCAAAGATCATCAGACCATTCACTAAATAATTGCTATGAAGAAAATCCAGTATTATGGGAATGACACATACAGGTATAGACCTTACCTTGGAAGTTTGGAAATGGAAAATAAATGTAAGGAATACTTAGGTTTCCAGGGCAGCCTGTAGAGGAACATTTATGCCTTATGGTAGTAAAATTGACATTTTGGCCACAATGTACATCGATCTTTGGAGTATGCATTTGCTGTAGGATCTCCTCTCCCCTTTAGAGCTGCAGTAGCATGTGATTCTCATCTGCAGACAGTACAGTGACTCTTTAAACCTACCACTACTGTGGGGTGCAGTTGGGGAGAAGGCAGTTGGAAAAGAGTAGAGACTGGGAAGGATATACCAAATGCCTTTGTTAAGAGAGATTAATGGCTCATGCCTATGATCCCAGCACTTTGGGAAGCAGAGGTGAGAGGATTGCTTGAGTCCAGGGGTTCAAGACCAGCTTAGGCAACTTGGCAAGACTTCATCTTTACAATAAATCAAAAAATTAGCCAGACATGGTGGCATGT